TTATATTGTCTTTTTTATACCCATGCAGGGTATTATAATTTTAGTCAGATGTTTGCGACTTAGTAAAGGATACATTTCCGACCCTATAAAGTACATATATAATTAACGAACCGAAAACACTACTAATTCTGAAAAATCTTCGTCTGTACCTTGCCAATTCGAAAACAAAAAGTTTCCATCTACGTATAAAAAAAAAACTAATTCTGTTGACATGTTTGTTTAATGATTATTCAGTTTTACAAAAAGTAATTTTGTTAATGACTCGTCCGCGATGTTACATCTTTGGTCCGTAAGCATCATTTTGAGAGCCGAAAACGCCCTTTCAAAGCTCACTTGTGTTGCAGGAACCGAGTGCACCACCTTGGCCAGCTGATATGGTAGAGGTTTGGGTACCGAAATTTCTTTTCCTCCCAATACTCCATAATATTAGAGGTCGAGGAAATTGGCTTTGCACTATAGCCATCAATTTCAGCAAATCCTTTTTTTGATTGAAAATATTTTATTTTTTTACTTATATCTAATGATTATCTTTAAAAATAAAATAACAAATTTTAAACATAAACATTACCATTTAATTTGTATAATATAACTTATAATGATTACGGTGCCTGGTTTTGACTACTCTTACTGCTATATGTATATGTACATAAGCCGGAACGGGTCGGATCGGGTGCCTATATCAAATACATAGATGCAATAGAAACGATCCACAGTAGCTCCTTTTCTCATTTAGCGTTGCAAAAAGCATATCTTTTGAACCAAATAAGATAATCGAATAATTTAAACGGCATTGGAAAGGTAATTGGTGTAAAATGTATATATGTACAGCATAAAGTACCACGCCCACAAATACGCCATTTTAAAAGGTATCAAAGTGAAAAAATAATTTTTTTTTTCAATGAAAACAATTTTTTAAAAATATTTTTTTTTCAATTTTTTATGTTTATTTTTATGTATTTGCTCAAATAAAAATAAATTGAAAGCTGAAATTTTTCACAGTGTAACCGCCACGCGCTACAGTTAATATATTTCTTGGAATGTATGAAATTGTGTCGGTATTTTGGTATATTTCACCATGAGTAGCTTTGGTTTATGTAGTTGCATTTTCGCAGACGCAGCTCGACGCAGCCGATGAAAGTTAATTCTGGTCCAGGAAAGATCCACGTAACTTGTAGACATAGTGTAGTCGATGGCTTTCATCGGCTTCAGACGTTATAGACTACTTTAGGCAGAAAAAGGTGAAAAAAATGGACACCTGGCAGGTAGCGATTTACCTGTACAAGCCCAAACCAAAGTGCCGTTTTTTTGGGTTAATTAACAGTTTATGAATGTATCTATAATTTAAAGTAAAAACCATGACCATTGGTTTTATGGTTTTTGTGTAATATTACCTGAAAGTCTACCATTTTACCCATTTTTTTTGGTATGATGCAAAAAACAAAAGAAAGTTCAACTTTGAATGCTCATATCTTCTACAAAAAAAAACTTAAAATTGATTTTATTGCAGATTCTGAATGCTTGGGAAATTTTCTGTCGAATAAGTATGGTTAAAATTGTTTTTGCGAACATGACTTTTTTGATTTTTGCAACGCTAATTGTTCGAGAGGCGCTACTGTGCGATCGGTAAATTTTAAGAAAAAAATTATAATTTCGTTGTTTATGAACTAATTGTCATCTTTTTAATAGGAACGATCGGTAATCTTAGGAAAAATGTTTTGTTTTGTACTTATTTAAATTTTAAATCTAAAGTATACCTATTCTATACTATTTAAAAACATATTTTTATATTTGATAAAAACAAGTTTATATGCTATGTATAAATATGCATATATTGTATTGTATATATCCCGATTGCAAAAGGAATCGATTCGTAAAATCCAATTGCAAACTGCAAGGGTATACATACACACATATTTCACTTAGCCGAAGTTAGCTTCTTTTTTTGTTTACTATCTTAATTAAATATCGATTTCTATTGGTCATATTTCTGATTGAAATTAAAAGCACAAGAAATTAACATTAACGAATGAATTCCGTATCTGTCACGTTCGAATTACTAAATTTGCGTTTAAATTTCTTGAATGTTTAAATTAAACACTTGCAACAATTATAGACCCAGGCAAAAGCTTTAAGTTAACATATATAAAAAAATCGAAAAATGTAACACACATTTTTTTTACTTTGAATACGAACAATTCGACAGAATAGAAATGCCCATATTTTCATATTTACAGATTTACAAAAACCGTTTTGCAATCAAAGCTTTACTTTTTTTCTCTATAACTGCCGATCGATCCTGTTCTGAAGTAATACTGGTCATTTTGTATTATTTCTGAATTTCGCTTTTAATTTTATGAATATCTATAAACTATATCATATATGAACATAGTTAGCATAGGATCAATTGGCAGATGTATAGTGGTGAAAGTAAAACTGTAACTGTATCTCAAATAAGAAAATGGGTTGAAAACAGCGAAGTTATCATTTTTTGTATTATTTTCCTTATCGTTCCTATTGCAACTATATGATATAGTCGTCTGATTTTCGTAAAATTAAAACTCAAATTCTAAACTAGTACAAAATATCTCAAAAAGGATGAAAATAAGTTTAAATAAGCAAAGTTATAATTTTTTTTTTCTAAAAATTTTTCAATTGTTTCATAAGAAATTATAATAAAAAATTTAAAAAAGTTTATTATAAAACTATATAATTATAAAAAAAAAAAAAGTATACATTTTTTTTTTTAATTTAAAAATGTGATTTTTGGGTTCGTCTGTTTTTGATTCATAGAATCATGTAAGAAAATGTTCAAAGAAAACTCTTAGAAAGAAGTTATTGCACATTGAGCGAAATTCTGAGCGAAAAAATATCGCTCAAAAAATGATCATTATTTTTTGATCGGACTTTTTTCGCTCAAAATAATAATTATTATTCTTTGAGCGATGAAGTAAATATAAAATTATAATTATTAATGGCAAGTGAAATATATTAAAATCGATAGATAGGTAATCATTAATCGTTGATTTTTATTTTTTTACTTATAATAATTACGTGCCCTGCTTTTTATACATTGTAATTTTTTATGGATTTTAAATAACGACTTTATTTGTTTATTAATTATTACATTAAGATATAGTATTGTTGTCACTGTCAGAAGAACAATCGGAAAATAAATAGGAAATTTTATATTAATAATATTAATGCAACTTTCAACATCCACCAATCTCAATATCTAAATATACATTCTATATAATGTGTATTTGTTCCCTTTTCCAAGAGGGTTCCTTGACTTCCTTAACCCACATGATTTCGCATCCTACCCACCTCCCCATTCAAATGTCCCATGAAATCGTTGCCTTTACCCAATTGAGGCATAACTTAGACCCCGACTAAGTCGAGGTCTCGGGCTCGCAGCGATCAAAGTACCAGCATTTGGCCAAAAGGTCACACGCATCTCCTGGAACAAGCCAGTCTTTGGGAGGGTGACACGCGCTGTGGGAACAGCAGACAGAAGTGGCAGAAGACGGTCGCAAGCGTGCCAAGCTAGCCATTCAGAGGGTTGGAACCACATTACTCCTCGGGGCGTTGGTAAAAAGTCAAAGGATAATTGTTAGCCCAACATGTGTGAAGATGTAGGTGAGTTTTTTGCCGATGATACCGTGAACATGATCGGTATAGCCCTTTACGAAGCAGAGCTTAAATATAAGTGAAATTGAGATACATTTTAAACTGGGGCTGTCAAAGGGACAAATTTAAAATTGACAAATACCTTTTATTTTTAAATTTGAAAATTAATTTTGATAGATTACTTTTTTTATTTTATATTATATATTTTTATGACGTACCCAAAAACCTGTTCACACAAGCCCTTGGTCGAAAGATAAATACATTTGGTTGGCTACAATTTGACCTCTGCTCTTTTGGGGGCTTGGGGCTTACCTCGTTCCCTATGCACTAAACCTTCCATTTGGATTATTGTAAACGTGTCTGGGAGGCTACACCTTTTTCCCTAAAAAATTGCCCGAAAATTGTTTGTATGGTAGTTTCAAGATATTTTGGTACGATCTGTCCCGACATACTGTAACTCCCTGCCTTAAGAATTTGCCATTAAGACCAGACAAATCAATACATATTAATAATGACAGCCAAGCTGTCTCGATAAACTGCAGGTCTCTTCAAGAGATGGCTAACTAGCTCTCTATTTGCTTAATATGGGTTCCCAGACATCGGGATACATAGCCACTGACTGGCTATTTCCTTTTGGACAAGGCAAACTGTATACACATGGCCACTGGCAAGCTAAACATTAAAAATCTACATATATGTATGTATGGTACAGGCAAAAATCATTCGATTCTGATTGGTAAGACATGGCCCGTGATAGACATCAAATGATAGCAAAGGATAGTCAGACCTCCGATACATATGTAAGTACCTACCTGAACATAAGTTTCCTTCACTGCGTTGCAAACTGACTAAAAGCATAATACGCATTAAAAGGGTATGATAAATGGGTCTTACACTTAATAATTTTTATAATTTTTGCTCGAATCTGCACTAATAACGGGCATCAATCTCAAGAGAAACCTTATTCAAAATCGTCTTCTGAAAATCCGTGAACTTGTACGACGTGCACGTGCTCCCAGGACCCTAAACTCGGACGCTTTCTTCAGTCGTTCCCAGAGAAACGCGGAATCTTCTGCTGGTAGCAAGCATTCCGGATCCGAGGACGTAACCAGAAACTGGTGGCAGGCAGCTAGACCCAGTGAGGGTAACAGAGGGAAACCACACCCCGAAATCCCGCGAGGCAAACGATTCACACGCGCCAGCATGAAACGCACAATCCAGCTAGAGGCAACGCGCCATCCCGCTTGCGCCACTGCTACAGCCGCCATTGGTGGACAGCGATTGGTCGCTGCCGGTGCTGCTGCTGTGCTGCCGCCTGCGCCGGTATAAAAGGGCAATCATCGCCAGTTGCCGCGTCAATTAAGCCCAGGGATTCGGACGGAGAGCAGCAAGTTGCCAAGAAGTGTAAATTGAAAATCCCAAAATCGAAAAAATAATTAATTAATAAAACAAGAACAGCACGAGAACATGTTTTCGTGAAAGACAATTAACTGATTTGAAAAACGAGAAGACAAACCTAAACCATTTAAAGTTGCAAAGTGAAGCGAAAGCAAAGCGAATAATTAATTAAAATTATAATCAAATCAAAGCTAACATTTGTGTACGGTGCGTGGTGCTAGTGTAAATTGTGCATCTACAGCTAGAATGGAGCACGATAGCTTCGACGATCCCATCTTCGGGGAGTTTGGCGGCGGTCCGTTGAATCCTTTGGGCGCCAAGCCACTGCTGCCCACGACGACGTCCATGCATCCCGCTATGTTGGGCAGTGTCCACGAGCTATGCAGCCAGCAACAACAGCACCCGCAGCAGCAGCAACGACTGCCGGACTGCAACACAATCCTGCCAAATGGAGGTGGAGGAGGAGCAGCAGGAACGGGTGGCGGAGGATCACCCAGCTACGTGCCCAAGCTGGACTTTGTGAACAAGATGGGCTGCTATTCGCCAAGCCAAAAGTATGAGTATATCACGGCTTCACAAAAGCTCGTGGAGCAGCACCAGAATCACCAGCAGCCGCACCACCATCAGCACTATGCAGTTACACCACCGCCCAGCCACAATGGCATCCTGCTCCACAAGCAAGCCACCCAGCAGCAGCAGCAGCTGGTAGGCATTCTGGACTACCATCCGCTGAATGGCAAGATGGATTACTCTACATCGCCCAAGGATCACTATGAGCCGCAGCAGCAGCAACTGCAGCACCTGTACGGTGGCAGTCCGCACCATTTGGATCACCTGGATGGCAGCGACGGCCTGCTGCAGGACTCCTCGCCAGTCATGATCAACAGCGGAGCCACGGCGGGCAAGCTCAAAAAGCAAGACGAGATGTGCGGACAAATGGAGACGGTGGTTGGTGCTGGAGTCAGTCCTCCCGACAGCTCAGTGGCGGTACTCAACGGTGGTGTTGGTGGTGGGACACCTAATGGCGGCAGCACCTCCTCGGCCCCCACCAATGGTGGCCAGGGGGCGGCTGGAACAGCGGGCGGCGTGACGACAGCTACCCCCAAAAAAGACGGCAGCGGTGGCAAGAAGAAGGGCGATCCCAATGGCATCAAGAAGAAGAAAACGAGGTGAGCAATCGCAATGGCTTCTTACTGCCAATTAATTTAACGACGGGAAATCAATGAAGTTATGTGCACCAAGGCAATAATATCATTTATTTATGGTACGAAGCCACGGGGCGTATGAGTAATTACTAGTAAGGAAATGGATAAAGTCACTTGGTGTAAGACACACAATCTGGAGGGTTGATCATTATTGATAAATATGTTCTGTAGATTACATTTTCAAATGCAGGAACTGTTCATTTTTAGTTAAACTAGCGAATGATTTTGATATAATCGGGTTGATTTAATCGTATTAAGACACCTTGCTTCTCTTAATATTGATTTTACAATAAAATCAGCATTAATAAATGAATCAATTGAAATGAGACATCTTTAATACCATTCAATAATTTTAACAACATATATTCTGCGAATTATTACAACATATTTAATTGTGATTTCCATAAGATTTGCAACATTTAAATACTCTGCTAGGGTATACATTTGTGGGAAAACCAAACCTTTTAGCTAATCATATTTGTTTTTTTATTTAATTTTATATTTCAGAACCACATTTACTGCTTACCAGTTGGAGGAACTGGAACGGGCCTTTGAACGTGCCCCCTACCCGGATGTGTTCGCGCGCGAGGAACTGGCCATCAAACTGAACCTAAGCGAGTCCCGTGTACAGGTGTGGTTTCAGAATCGAAGGGCCAAGTGGCGCAAGCACGAGCCGCCACGAAAAACGGGCTACATCAAGACGAGCACGCCGCCAACGGCGACACTCAATCCCGGGACGCTCGCGCCGCCGTTCACAAGCTATCCTCAGACGACAACGGTGACGCCACCGGGCAGCATGGACAGCTGGACCAGTTACCAGACACCTTACGAGCTAACTCCCCAGTTCAGCCTGCTTTCGCCGGCGGCCAGTCCGTATGGCACCTACTCCGGCCAGTATGGCGCCTACGTTCACGAGAGCCAACTTTTCCCGATGCGGCACTATGAATACGGCAGTCCCACACGCATGGAGATGAGCGCCACCTCCGGTTCCGTGGGTGGCAATGCAGAGGAGGCGGTGGCCAATGGCGGAAGCTACCAGCCGGCCGAGCTACAGACCGCCCAGCAGCAGCAATTGCCCGATGGCACTTTGGTTACCGTCCATGCCCACCAACAGCATCAACAGCAGGCTCAGCAGCAACTTAACGGCAGTAAATATCTAAGTGGCGAAGAAGCCAAGTACGTCCACCTGCAGTGCCACCAAAGCGGAGCGGGCCTGGAGCTGAGTCCCGGAGCCAGCTGTCACCTGGTAGAGGCCCAACCGCAGCACTATGTGACCTCGGCGGCTGCCGCGGGAGGGACAGGAGGCGGCGGCAGCGGGGCAGGCGGAACCAGCAGTGATGACAACGACAGCGGCGGCTTGCAGGTTGTGATCAAGAGCGAGGAGCAGCAACAGGCACAGAGCTACGTCCTGCCGCCTTTTTTGCACTAAGGGAAATGCTCACACACCGGCGTCACCAGCAGCAGCACCAGCCTCATCGCCGCTGGGCCACGCCCCCCACGCCAGGCGTCCGCCATTTCCGGAGGCCATTTTAAACGGGAGCGTGGAGTGTGCAGCATTTCAATCTGGATTTCCCAGGGCTAAATCTGGGCGGCTCCAGAAATATAGTCATACGCCAAGAATTAGGGGGTTACACCACCAATACTACTCAAAAAGTGAGAGGTTACAAAATACTTTAGAAATATTATTGTTGATTTCTGTAGATAACATCATCTGCCAAATTGAGGAGGTGGGATCTGATCCAGATTTTAGTTCAAATCGTGGAATGCCAACTACTTACATCTTCGACTGAATTCCCTCTCTTCAACGGCATTTGTGGTGATTCTCTTATTGTCCGGTTCCACAGACAGTCTTTCATAATGTTATGGGTTCCTTTTAGGTTTAGTTATGCATGTTGCAACAACAACAGAATCAACAAGTCTTGCCAAAACTTAACGAGGTTTTTGTTTCAGCCTAAGTATAAATTAGTTAAAAAGGTTCACGGGCTCCCCAACCAGCCAAATGGGCGAGCCCAAGCCACCAAAATGCATTCCAAATGTGCCTTATTAATCGGTGAGACGATCAGGTACTGGCTTGCCAGCTAAGGTCCTCCGCCGTTCACAAATAAAAACTTAGTTATAGAGTTAACCCAATGCTAATCTAAGCCTCCCATATACTGTTGTGTATTTAGACAATAAATTGGTTATTTTCTACATTGTATATTTAGCTCCCTTTGGCTTCACAAAGAAATATTACAAACTAATTTATCCTCACCACCATTTGTATATTGGATTGAAAGTGTTTGTTTACCTACGTTTAAAGCTAGTTTAAAATTATAATTATATTTTTAAGCAATGAATACTCTCTAGGTCATTTTGGAAGTGTATATAATAGACATCTAATAAATTGTATTTTTTACCAATAACAATCGAGCGTAATGAACAAAACAATATACAAAACAAAACAAAAACAAAAAAAAAAACAAGAAAGGAAGCTAACTTCGGCACGCCGAAGTTTGTATACCCTTGCAGATATTATTTCATTACATTTTACCTATACTTATTATGTTTACATTTTGACGGTTACAGTTTTACATTCCCAGCTTTACATTTTCTCTACATCTACCGATCGCTTCTATGGCAGCTATGTATATGATATAGTTGTCCGATTTTTATGAAATTTATACCAAAATTCTAGAATAATAAAATAAGCTTATATCTCAGAGTAGATTAAAATTCGTTGAAAAACAATAAAGTTATAATTATTTTCCTATTAATTTCCCGATCGTTCCTATGGCAGCTATATGATATAGTCGTCCGATTTTCATGAAATTTTTATCGAAATTCTGAAATAATACAAAAATGCCATAAAATGGTGCAAAAATGTTGAAAAACAGCCAAGTTATAATTTCTAAAAATTTATCGAACATTTGTATGGCAGCTATATGATATAGTCGTCCGATCCGGCCCGTTCCGACATATATAGCAGTGAGAGTATATAGAAGACTATATGCAAAGTTTCATTCGAATAGCATTAAAACAGAGGGACTAGTTTGCGTAGAAACGGACAGACGGACGGACAGACGGACGGACAGACGGACGGACAGACGGACGGACAGACGGACGGACAGACGGACGGACAGACGGACAGACGGACAGACGGACATGGCCAGATCGACTCGTCTGTTGATTCTGATCAAGAATATATATACTTTATAGGGTCGGAAATGTCTCCTTCACTGCGTTGCAAACTTCTGACTGAAATTATAATACCCTGCAAGGGTATAAAAACAAACATAAAAAGCAGCTACGCTTGGGACAATTCCCTTGACGACTTTGTTATCACAAAAACTATGAAATACGGGGTGATCTAAGAAAATACAGAAAGTTCAGATTCTTGTTTTAAATATTTCGAAAATTAACTCAGAAAAAAATGGTTTTCTGTTTTGGAAAGGACAATATAATAGTGTATCGTCCTCAATTGATGTATGTAATTCTGCATTCATTCTGAAAACAAAAAAACTCAAGTCAAAGAAAAAGCCATTACGTAGGATTAGTTCCCTCCTCCCCAACCTGTTGCCAATTTATGCCCTTAAAGAAGGGATGCTCTCGTATTTGCTCGTAATCCAACCGCAACTCAGGAGTTAGTTGCAGCAGCTGTTCCAGCAGGTCTGTCGCATGATCGGATATCTCTAAAGGTTCTGTGGGATACTGCACACAACCATAGAGCTCTAGTTGGCCGGGGTGTGTCGTCTTGTAAGGCTACAAATAAAATAATATATTAAAACAAGATTCTTCAAGACTCCTCAAAATCGTATCCACTCACCACCCCCAGTAGGAGTTGATAGAGCACGACGCCATAACTCCACCAGTCGGAGCGAAAGGTCAATGGTCGCTCTGGGGCTACGAAGTGATTCGCTAACGCCTCCAAACTTAAAGCCTTGTGCACATAGTTGTCATCCGAGCTGATTCCCTCGTTCTGATAGAAATATGTGAGCAGCAGTTGGCCCTTGTCGCCCAGCAATATGTTGGCCATGTGCAGATCCCGCAGTATTACACCTTTTCCATGCAAACTGTGGATAGCGATTGCAAGCTCGCAAGCCCATTGTCGTAGACACTGCTCCGGAATGGGCTTGTTTCGGGCTACACCGTCCAAGTACGCCCCCCGTTTTCTATGCGTGACAAGGCCAGCTTGGAGGTTGCTCAGTGTATTGGAGACGGATTTGAGCAATTGCTGAGAGCTACGCACCAGATCGCTGACATCGCTTTCCGCAGTAAGGGGTTCCTGCCTTTCCTCTTGCTCCGCCGGAAAGAGCTCCGCGTAATCGACACATTTGCTGCTTGTGGGCGTGTAGCTCTGCAGGTAATCGTAGAGCCTACCGCCCTCTGCCTGTCTTAGCAGTAGAAAGATCTTCTGATCCGACTGGAAATACGCAAGCAGTTTAACCATATAAGGCACTTCTTGGGGCAGAAAGATGCTCTGGGTTAGCGAGTTACTGGCCGGCTTTTCGATGCCCTTCATAATGGTTGCCGGTTGCTGTGGCTTCGTCACACACTGCACCTGCATCACGCGCTCCTCGAGTATATGCAATACCTTGTATCTTGCCAATTGGTTCCAAGGGCATTCCAGCTGAGTCACATTCTCGCCGTCCGTCATGTCTAGCGAGAGCTGGAACTCCAGCTTTTTTATGGGACAGTTGCTGCCTAGGAAGTTGGCATGAATCTCTTCCGCCCGCGCTAAATATTTGGCTATCTTCGCTTTGGCAATAAACCTTCGCTCCTCGTTCGCATCCTGTTTGGCCCCTTTGAGAAGGAGATCCACGCCGTGTTTGTACCGCTCGTAGGCTTCGACGTAGTTTAAATTGACCTCCGCTTGGACGGCGTGGCTAAATTCCAGAGCCGCCTCGTAAATGTAGTCGCTGTCTTCGCTTTCGATCGAGGCCATGGGCGTGAGAAGACGTAAATAATCCCGCTTCGTCGATGCCTCCTCAACCAGCTTGGATTCCGCGTCGGTTTTAGTTTCTTTTTCATCCGGCTCACCGTAGTCGGCCGGCGACGGCTGCTCCTTATCGCAGCGAGGATCCAGAGGCGTAATGCCGCCTGCGTCATGTGGGTCGTAGGGCAAATCGAGTTTATCGCAGATGTCCGCAATTGCTCCCCCTCTACTCCTAGAATCGACACTACTGCCTAATCCTCCGCTGCAACTGCTGTCTGCGCCCGCCGTCTCCAGCCGCAAGGATCGTTCTACATAAAGCTTCTTAAGCGGCGAGCCATTAGGAGAGGGCGTCTCCTGGAAGAACTGCGTAAAAATGGCGCACTTGTACAACGCCGGATGCAGGGCGGCAAAGTCGAGCAGCGTCAGTATATACTCCTTGCGGCGTTGAATCACAACTGCATCGAAGCGCTTAAAGTAGCTGCTGTCCGTGGGAACGGGCAACTTACCCGGCAACTGGAGGCTCTTGTGTCGCCGGCTCAACTCACGGTGTAGTCGCTTGACGTCGTGGAAACGCTTCCACACAACCAGACAGGTAAGGGCTTGCGGCACCGATCGCGGGAAAACCTGTGAAAGACCAAGACTTTGCAGGTGAGTCCGTTCTACTTCCTCAAATCTCCCATTAAACTCACAATCGACGTAATCTTGTAGATGGTGTAGCCGCCCTTATGCTCCTGAGCGTCCGCCACAGTGAAGCTGTGGATCCATCCACCCAGGTTGAGACTCATTTTGGCACCTGCTACTAAGCTGGCACCTTACTTTACTAACATTTTTTCCATTATGTGTTTTTTTAGTTTTTATCACGTGGACGTTTGGTTTGGCCGCAGCATTAATAACCGCAACATACACACTAATATAAACTCGATAAGGTGCTAGGCTCCCCTGTGTTACTCTATATTTTTGTTAGTAAAGTTTTCAAAATAAAATCCGCAGTTCAGTAATAAATGTAAATAGGTGATAATGTGCCCGCCGGCTTAATGTAAAAAATTCTTTCGAAAGAGCGGATTTCCTTCTACACAGCAACTGGTCACACTTTAACGGCCTATGCTGGAAAAAAAAATTGTCGATATTATCGAAATTTAGTTTTTTTACGCGGTAAATAACAAGATATTTAATGAATAATACCTGTAACTTTGAAACTTTTCTATTCCATTATTCCATAAAGAAAACAAATTTAAGAGTGCCCTATAAATTAATTGATAGCTAACGATAAAGTGGATAGTAAGACGCCTTTAAGATATACAAATTTATGTTCACAATTTCCCTTGGAAATGTATTGTGTTGTATGTATTGAAGCTTGTAAACAGCATACATTTAATTTTAAATTTAAATTAAAATTTAATGCACTCGCTTGCTATCGAAACTAAAACAACAAAAAACGATAGTGGTTAAACCAAATACTCGATATATCGATAATTTCGGGCGGGTTTTGCCCAGCTCTAGGAGAAGTAGAGAAAAAGAAGGCGACGAATCAAAGGCAAAAGGCAGGAAGCAGCAAGCAAAATCGACGCCGCACGTACCGGGAGCATTTAAATAATTTTTTCTGTGGATTAATTTAACCGAAAAGGCTTCAACAACACAATGACTGAGCGCGAGAACAATGTGTACAAGGCCAAGTTGGCCGAACAGGCCGAGCGGTACGACGGTGAGTAGACGAAAAAAAATGTTGAAAATTGAGTAGGGAAAATTTTTTCGTCAGAGGAGCGCCAACGTTTGGGGAGGGGTCCGCTCAGATCCGTTGCGTCGTCGCGTGGTCGCTGAAAAAATCGCCCCAAAATGTCTGCTTTTGCGTCAAAACTTCGCCAATTGATGGCCGACGAAAAGTCGCTAATGGAAAATTGAGAAAAAGATGGAAATTTTCAATATTTGCTTGTGTAGGTGCAGCGGCAGAAGTAGAAGCGACGCAGCGTCGCCGTCGATGAGTAGTATTTCTGCGAAAACGAACGCCGAGAGCAGAGCGATGAAGAAGCAGAGCGAATGGCAGAAGACAGACGATGACGGTGGCGGACAGAGAGAAGAAAAAAATGTAAAACCTGATTTTTACCGGCAAAAATTCGCGTGGTTTTCGCGAAAAGAGAAAGAAACCTAATTGCGTATTATAATTTACAGCAAGGTGGGCCAAATAGTTTTTTCTGGAATAGTATTACCGGTCGGGGGCAGGGGTAAAATAAAATTTTGTGTATTTAGCGTTGCGAGCGAGGGCTGCGCGGCCAACATTTTCCTTTTCCTCCATGTTGCTAAGGGCTGTTTGTAGCTGTAGCGTTTCCTCTATTAGGTGTTGTCAAGGCGTAAATTTCTAGAAGGAATCGGCGTAGTTTTGTGGATTAACTATATTAAAGTTTGTGGTATTCTGCAGCTCCACACCCAAAATCAATGGGGTTGGAATGTAAGGCCGCCCTCTCTGTGACCCTTCCCCCCTTTATTTCTTTCTTTTTTGTCCGACGAAATGTGCTTTTCATGCGCAGCAGCGGCGACGGCGTTGCGAAAAATCGATGAATGAATCGATTGTGTCTCAGAGTTGTCGCCGGCCTCCCTGTTCTCTCTCCTCTTTCTTTCTGGCTTTTTCGTAATTGGTTATTTATGCAAATTAGTTGCGGCTAGTTTTAATATTTTTCTTAACTTTGGGCTCTCCAGCCAGTTGGCAACTCTGTCAGTGCAAAAAAAAAAATTCTGTTGCTCTCGCATTACTCATGCTCACGCGCATGTATGTATGTGTGCCTGTGTGTATGCGGATGAGTGTACGCCGGGAGCTTTTATTGTTGCTGCTTATTTTTAATTAAAAATACTCCAATTAATTAAAAAAATGCCTCGAAATGCAAAGCGGAAAGAGCCGGAAGGGGAACTGATCAACGGTTGGCAGCGAATTTCGGCGTTTGCAAAAAGCGCGCGCTTAACAATTTCTGATTGCCGCTGCATGCGTTAAAACGAGATAACTAGAGTGTCGGCGTCGCGGCGGCACAGTGCCTGGAAAAGTTAACAAACAATGAGTGCTTTTTTTGCCATATATTAGGCGGCTGTAATTGCAACAATACTATGGATAATTGTCTGCAAAACTGACAACATTAACGGGCGGCGTCTCTTCTTCGACGTTGCCGTTTTTGCTGCTGTTCTAGCCGCAAAGAAGTCAATCAACTATTAGCAGCCACGGCTCGCACACAGACGCATACTGGGATATTCGTGTCTGTATCACATGTTTGTCTTCTTATTTTCGCCTGCCTGGCGTTGCCTCTGTGTATGTGTGTATGCATGGAGCACTTGGCGTTGGCCTTGTCGCACTTGGACTGTTGCGGCGCTCAATGCTGGAGCACCTATACCAGTGTGATCGGGGGAGAGCACACGCACACACTAGCAGGCTAATGCCGCCAGCCGGCTATGTCTGCGCCCCAATCTGAACTTGCCTCGCCCCCTGTCAGAGCCCCCTCCCTTTTATATACACATTAACGTCAGCCTTTAAGTGTGCTTTCTCAGGTGCTGCTCCCGCACCGCACTGCTCCTCCGCCTCCTCTGCGTCTCTTTCTCCCTCTCACTCGCCGCGTTCTATCTAGATTTTTTTTCGAGGTCGTGCACTGCTTTTTTCCGTTGATGTTCGTTCCCGTCAATGTCGTCAATATGCGAAAAAAAGAGCGTACATAAGGTTGATAGATGAGCACTGGAAAATTGGGGGCGATAGATAGGATAGGTGTGTTTTGTTTGTTTCTCTTATTCTGTATTCAAATTGCTGGCGTATTTAAATGGCCATTCTCTGTTGTTAGTTTTCCCTTTGTATAATTACACATTTTTCCTACTGTAACGGTATGTGCGCATGTTTTTTCAGTGCTGCCCTTACGTCACGCATACAAACGCAAGACACACCCATACACACACTCCCAAGCGGTTTTGATAAGGGTGGGCGACGAATTGGGGAGGCAGTGTGCAACTCTTGCTACATTCATAACCTTTTAGTCCCTATTTCGCCTAAATCTTTTATTGTAGCTTGCGTGACTTTTTTTGTTTGTTTTTTTTTTTTGTGGGTAGTTTGGGTAGGCTTTGGCGGTTCAATCTTCTATCAATCAATCTTCTGTAGCAATCTTCAGGGAAATATCAGTAAAGATATTGTTTTCCAAATTATTCGAGCGAAAGCCCGAATATTATGAAACTATATTTACGCAACTACCTGCCAAAATCACTGTTAATAGAAATAATAGTTTTAATTAGAAAAGACACAATAACGTTTTTTCACCTTATATGCATTGACTTAATGCTTAAAAGGGATTTATAATAAATATTTACTTTGGTGCAAAACTACCCTCTTTTCATAAAAATTTTGTGACGAAACAACTAAAGTTAACTTAATGAATTAAAAAACCATATAATAACACAACATTTGAACAATTTGTTCTAAATTTTTGTATAAAAAATAATGACAGCTCTACGAGTAATAGAGAATCTCTCGAGTCCCCTCAAAAAATGTTGGTTTTCGGGGTACATCCTAACTGCCCACAAATAGATCAGATATTAAAAAACTATAATTCATTAGTTAAGTGTCCCGAGGTACTACCGTGGCGTTCTTATTTTTACATTTCTTTCTTGCATTTTTATTAGTCTGAAGTCAAAACCCCGATTTTGGACGATTTAAACTTTTTGATGCTCTTACATTGATCACCAAACGACCTTCGTTCAACTCTGCATAACTTCGTCGATTTAGCTATGATCGATGTAAAACTTAGACACAATATTCTTAAGATATTGAGCCGTTAAAATAAAAAAAAAATTACGGAAAAATAAATAAATACCTTAGCACCCATTTAACAATTATTATTATTGGAAAATAAATATTCATTACTATCGAGTCTGAAATACTGACAATTTTTTAATATTTACTATAAAAATATTACTACATCTTTGAATTTATTGACCACTGCTTTGCGAGCCGTTTGAACGTCTCGAGTTCGTTGATTTGTTATATTGTGTCGTGGCCATATCGATTTTCGGTATAATATTTGGAGATTCGACTTGCGCGCATGTCTTATATTTGGTAGTGGAAGTACCTAATTGTAAGCAACACGTCCTATACTTAAAGCTGGTTCTTGGTGGGGTTCAAAATATCCCCACATTGAACAACTTACATCCTTCGCCTTCTGCTGATCCCCCTTATTTTTTCTTATACCCTTGCAGGGTATAGTGATTTTAGTCAGAAGTTTTGCAACGCAGTGAAGTAGTCATTCCCGACCCTATAAAATATATATATTCTTGATCAGCATCAATAGCCGAGACGATCTAGATGTGAATCTAAGACTGTAACTGTAAAACTGTAAATATAGTATATAAAATTAGATGTAATGAAAGGTATTTGTTTTTGTTCAGAATATATTTAATTAATTATAGTATATTAGTTATTTCAACCCCAAAATATACGCACGAATGAATCATGACGCTTTGATGCTCATATATAGGATTATACAGTGTGTTTGTGCGCGAAATACGTCAGCAGCTGACTGGGCTCAATTGCGAGCAAGCAAGCGGACGAGCCAAATGGAAACCTGCAAAAATTATGAGGAACGCTGCAATTACAATATTTGTATACCCTTGCAGGGTATTATAATTACAGTCAGATCTTTGCAACGCAGTAAAGGAGTCTTTTTCGGACCCTATTAAGTATACATATCTGTTTAGCCATGTCCCCGTATATCCGTTTCAACGCAAACTAGTCCCTCAGTTTAGAAGCTATCTGAATAAAACTCAGCAGATAGTCTTCCGACTATTCTCACTACTATTTATGTCGGAACGGGTAAGGACCTGGCCTGATTTGAGTACAACAAAATATTTAAAATAAAAATATTTTTGATAAAAATAAAAATTATAAAAAATTATATATGATAATTTTTTTTTTTTTGCTTAAATAAAATGCCCTCAGATTCATAAATTTTATTGCTTTTTTCAAACTTTCTTATTCCCATATTTCCATCATCCGTAATTTACAGGTAAAAAAAATGTGAAAATTGTATATTTTTACTCAAATCTAATGATTATTTGTGAAGAAAATAGAAAAAATAAATTGATTTTTATATTTGAAAAATACAAATAATCATTTTTTACGATCCCTGATTCATATACATGTCTTATATGTCTCCTGTTAGTATTTCTATTAGTTGGACCAAAATGAATCGATTCGTAATGATCCAATGGCCTTTACTTTCCTAACTTCCTTTCTCGTTTAGCTGTGATTTGTTGTGTATTGTCTGTTATCAACACAATGTACACACCAAGTAGTTGCTTTGCATCTGTGCATGTGATTCATGACGCGCTTTTTTAGGCTGATGATGCCAGTTAGTATAAAAAATGTGTGCAACACTGCCGGGCACCGTTATCGGAGCACCGGCTGATTGTTGTTGGGTGTGGGTGGTAGGCGGTGGGGGGAGTATCCGCGGCGTAATGACAGAATCGGTTAAATCGGGCGTATAAAACGCAACGCCCAGACCATATGAAGAAGTTACGCGGCGGCTGCATGAATTATACACATATATTATCATGGATTGGGCGTGTCGCACCGATAAGAAAATGGGAATATACAAAGGCTAGTCCTTAATTAGATCTGAGGGTAATCCAGGCGACAATTACTAAAAATTGATTAAATGTACATAATTATATCTACCAATAAATAAATTGAAAATTAAATTGCAGCCTATATAATTATGTCTTTTTAATTCAGTAAAATAAAAAATTGTATATTTTTTTTAAAGATATTGTAATGTTCGCTAAAAAGCGTTTGGACTTCTGAGCATAACATTTGATTATTCATTTTAGCGGAATAGATCTTTTCGTTGTTCCTTGGGAAGCGTCAGCAATTCGTTTTTGTTTAATAGCTTTTACTAACATTCTAAATTTGTACTTACTACCTATTCCGTACTCTTCTGTATGCCGTCTGCAGAAATGGTGGAGGCCATGAAGAAGGTCGCCTCAATGGATGTCGAGCTAACTGTCGAAGAGCGCAACCTGCTGTCGGTGGCGTACAAGAATGTGATTGGAGCACGACGCGCATCGTGGCGCATTATAACTTCAATTGAACAGAAGGAGGAAAATAAGGGAGCCGAGGAGAAGCTGGAAATGATCAAAACTTATCGAGGCCAAGTGGAGAAGGAGCTGCGCGACATCTGCTCGGATATACTGAATGTGCTGGAGAAGCACCTCATTCCATGCGCCACATCCGGCGAAAGCAAAGTATTCTACTATAAGATGAAGGGCGACTATCACCGCTATCTGGCCGAGTTTGCCACCGGTTCGGATCGCAAGGACGCGGCGGAGAATTCGCTGATTGCCTACAAGGCGGCCAGTGATATTGCCATGAACGATCTGCCACCAACACACCCCATTCGCTTGGGATTGGCATTGAACTTCTCGGTGAGTGGGGATTGACTTAGATTTGGATTTTTTCTTATCTTTGGCCCAAATCTCTGCCGTACAGGTGTTCTACTATGAGATCCTCAACTCGCCGGATCGCGCTTGCCGATTGGCGAAAGCCGCTTTCGACGATGCCATTGCAGAGTTGGATACGCTGAGCGAAGAGAGCTACAAAGACTCGACACTCATCATGCAGCTGCTGCGGGACAATCTCACATTATGGACGTCCGATATGCAGGCAGAAGGTAAGTTATCTATAACACAGTCTAAATCTATTAAGTTCTAAATGATTACTATTATACTAAGAAGTAGACCCCAACGCAGGTGATGGCGAGCCCAAAGCAGAAATTCAGGATGTTGAGGATCAGGATGTGTCGTAATTTAAGTAACCCCCCGCCCTTCCATTGAAAAAACACATTATATACCTTCTAAAGTAAATATAATACCATATAATATATATGCATACAACAACAACACGACAGCAAAACAACAGCAACAAAAAACTGGAACCAACACGGCATCATCATCCGCAATCAATACAAGACAACAGTAGTAGCAGACGCGGCAGGATCATCAAACACAAACAAGAAACAGCAACAGCAGCCAACAATTATTCAACAACATTTAACAATAAACAAGAGTGGAAAACGAAACAGCACAAAAACTCACAGAAAAAGAAAGAAAAAACCACAAAAACCAAATGTTTCGAAAATTGGGGCGTCATTTTGGTGGGCGTGGCAGTTGCTGCGACAGTATAAGGAAGATCACTGCGAGAAAATAAGTAGTCGCATGTCTGTTTCATTGTCTCCTCCGTCTTCGTAGGCCAGAAGAACACAGCGAAAAAAACTCTACTACAATTAAAAATTTTGCATTCGAGAAATCAAGCATTATATTATATTTAAATAAATATTATATTTAATTATGAGAAGCAAACAACAAATAACAAATAAATTTCATTTAAACCACAAAAAGCAAAACAAACAAAACAATTGAGAAACAATCACGAGTAAAATGCAAATTTTCATCCAGTTGGCATGCATTCATTTTTAAACTAATAACAGAAAAAGTCACACAACAGCAACACTTAAAATACAACTTTAATTTTAAGCCAATAATAAAAAACGAAAACAAAGAAATAAAACATAACGAAAACAAAATTAATAAGCGCAAAATAAAGGTAACAAAAGCGTAAAGTCGAAAATGGAAGGAAAAATACAGCAATTCATTTAAATTTAATACGAATAAAAACGAGTAAACCAGGAACCGAAATAAACAAACAGAATGAAAGGCCGAAATAAAGCTAAACAAAAACTATTTAAAGTGAGAAAAGGGAATGTTAGTTAAGCGACAATTCAAAACGAATTCTTAAGCTTAAATTTGTATGTATGTAAGTGTATTGTTCAAAGACTAACACAAACACACTCACTCACATTCTTGCCCTCATCGAAGCCAACGCTACCGGACACACAAACGAGAGATCTTTTATTTATCTCACCGTCTCCTTGCTCTCATCGCACACATCTATCTTTTGACATAATTAAATTTCAAATCGAACGGTATTTTCGTTAACTTGTAGTCTTTCGATAAGTGAGTTTCGTTTTACGTTTTCCATTCGCAATCGCAAACATTTTTTCACATCATCTCTTAACATTGCGCAACAAGAGAAACATATTAATAATAATAGAAAAGTATTTGTAGTTGCTAAAATACAAGAAAAACGAAAACGATAAAGAAAAAAATCAACAGTACATATATATATAAATTTATATATATTGTATACATATATACTTGTATATTTTCTATGCCTACCACTTATGTAATTTGTAGAGATTTCAAATTTTTCAACCCGAAAATCCCCGAATTTAAAAAGTCCTCAATTCGGCATATAAAACAGAAAATTCTCTCCCCCCCCCCATTTTCCACCAATGACAGAAACTGAACTGAAGGCGCGCAACACAGACGAGAAATATTTAATTTAGCTTAAAGTCTAAGAACCGACGAAATACCCCAATAGCAGAACGAACACCTTTCATTTAGCGTGTTAACGAATGACAACAAAAAGGGAACATTTCTGCACGAGTTTCTTTAACACATCCTGCCTTCGTGTGCTCCTCTTTTCGATAAAGGAGGCGAGTAAACAAGATGACAGACGAGGAACAATTCGCAGGCGCTGAAGAGACCCGTGCTGAAAGTTAATAAAGCATAAATCAGCAGCAGCAACAATAACCGCAACGACAACCGCGCAACATTCTTGAACAGAACAACAACAGCAATACAAAAAACAAAAAAAAAAAAAAAGGAAACAGCAGCAAAAAACTGACATTCGTATTCATTTCAAATAAAAATCATAAAAAACAAAAACAAACAATTGGGAATCTCAATTTATTATTAATTGAGTTTCGGGTGGGGTCGGTAGAGGAGGGAAGCCAAAAATAGCGAAAGATATGGAATAGAGGGAAATTTATACACTTTTCAATCATAGATACTTCAATTCCACTGATTAGTTTACTATATATAAATGGACAATAAAACTGAATCACAGAAGGCTTTTATGCATACTTTCATTGATTTGATTTCATAATAGTTATAAATTTATAATCTCTTTTATATGATCATCAAACAGTGAATCCCGTTTTATGCACATGTCTACTTACATATATTTATGGAGTAATGCTTATTACTTAGTTGCGTTTCAAGACATTGATTTTGATTTCAGTGAGACTGAACTGATGGGATAAATTCCAAGAAAAGATAGTAATGTCCTTTAATTATTGCCTAGTTAAATCTCTCAAAAAGTATGCAACGAAAAAAAAAAACAATTTCGAAACCAAAATAAGTAAATACCACCATTTAACGTATTTAATGCAACAGCACCCCTATGCTGTGCTTTAAGGTAAAAATAAATGCAGTTTCTTTTGATAGTTACCAATACAAAATACTGAGCGAAACCACAATCACGACTAACGGCACTTCTGCGTCAACTAAAGGTGTCCACTTAAGCTCAATGTCATTTTGCCAGCACACTTTCGCATTGGCCAGAAGCAACCACAAAAAGTGGGTCTAGTGGTCGGTCTATTGTCTTTCCCCAAGCAGATGCGCACTATGAAAAGCCTTACACAAATGCTTAGACATATCTATATTTGAAAATCAGTCGAGAAAGAAATTGTAAGAGGCAATGCAGAGCCGAACCAGGGTTTAGTTGCAAAACGTTGCTCGAGAGTCTCGGAAATGGCACTGCAGCTGCAAATTGAGAAGCTTAAAGGTTTGGACAACTACAAGGCCTGGTCGATGACGGTGCGGGCATATCTGGAGTCCGAGGAACTCTGGTCGGTGGTGGAGAATGGTCCAGAGAACAACGAGGAGGTAAGTGAATACACTCTGTTGCAGCCATGTACATACTCTTCATGGTGCCCAACTACTTCGTTTCCTCTTTGTAGTCTCTGCTTAAGGACAAGCGTGCCAAGTTCTTGATTCTTTGTCTAATCGAAACTAAATTGTGTCAGTTCATGGTCAGCATCCGGACGGCCAGGGATCTCTGGACTTATCTGCGCACCCAGCACTCATTACGCTAAAAGAAACTGTTTCAGTTACACTCTAATTTATTATTGTATAAATATATACGAGTTACAAGTTAGCATTGGCTCAGCGCACATTCCCTAGCTGTCCGCTTCCAGATCGATGATTACGGGCTGATCTTCGGGATTCTCGTCCAGCAGACCCTCGAAATACCAGCCCAGCTTCTTTTCCAGCCGCTTCGTCAGCCGTTCGGCGCTTACGCTTAGGCCACCCGAATGCAGATTCACCAGCAATTCTCGAACATCCTTGAAAACGCTATTGTGAGGACCGGGCACCATTAGCTCCTCGGGCAGGTGTGGCAGTTGGTGGGCCAACACTTCGCTGTACTTCATATACGTGAGTTTGTGTCTGCTTACCGCCGTTTCAGAGTGCGCAAGCAGACCGAGGAGCTTGCGCCAATGAGCGAGCGACTCCACGGAGTAGCCGACCAGGAAAAAGGCATAGGCCAGTTGCAGTTCCTCTATCAGACCGTCGGCGGAGTCGAAGCTGGTGAGCAGCTCATCCACCGCAGCTATGCAGTCCATGGCGTGGCGAGAAACGTCGGCGGGTAGGGCGTTTTGTGGAACACGTAGGGGCAAGTCACTGAAGCGGGGCGCAGTTCCCTCTACGGGCTTCAGATCCGGCAAGAGCTCGCTCTCGTCCAGCAATAATCGAGCGGCCGTGTTCCGCCTTCCAGTGCTGCTCGCACCCGCTCCGCCTCGGGGACGTTCTGCATCTGGACATGACTGCAGTTCGATATTGGTGCGAATGATGCCCTCGGCGGGTCTACATCGCTCCACGCAGGGCTCTGTCACGCTGCCCGTTAGCTCCTTCCACTGCGCCACATAGCGGTAATCGTAGGGTGCGAGCACACGCTCCAGCTGCGCTAGATTCTTGCGGATCCGCTCGCGCTCCAGCTCTGGCGCGGCGATCTTGCGGGGTCGGAGCTCCTCTAATTCGTTGTCCCATTCGCGCACCACGATCTCATTGGCGTGAAAGAAATGAACGAAGCCTACCCGTGGAGCTGCATCGCCATAGGGACCACGGGAGGCACACCACACATAGTGGACGCCGGGCGGTATCATCTTGACGCCTCGAAAGTCCGGACCGATGGTGTAGGCGCACAAATCGATGCCGAATTCGGTGCCCTCAGGAACGCCGGCGACGGCCAAAACGGCGCCTTCGGCTAGCAGGCGCAGAGCCAGTTTTGGGTCCATATTCATGCTGGAATTATCCTTGTTCATATTTCGGGTTTATTATTACAATTTTTTGAGACAACAATGCGCAAAATATCGATAAGTACCTAATCGATGTTTTTGGCGATGAATGAAACAAATTTGCCCGGAAAACTGTAGTTTGTATTCCATTGACCTCCGAAAATAACATTGGAACATAACTTACGCAAATTTGATGTATATGACAAGCTTTATAGGATCCTAAATGCAAAATTTTAAATCTAGTACTATAATCGACGAAATTTGCCTTCAACTAAATTAAAGAAAAGGGTCAGATTGACTCGTATTTTTAACATTCAGGAAGTTCCCTGTACGATAGGAAATAGAGGTTATGAAACATCCATGTATCGTCGACGTTATTTTTTGCTTAAAGAAATATTAAATTGTTTTTTTCATAACAGCATCAGAAACTAATTTAAATTCTAGCATACGTTCAAAATCTCCTGCTTTCTTTTCGTTGCCGTAACTCGGACCTTTCCCCAGTTCCTAGAATTTGCAAGAGGTAAGAGCCTAAAAGTTGTAATCTGTATTACTTATACATACTTATGTATGACTACTTACGTTTTAGAAAGTTCCCCACAGCCTACATCCACGAGGTTGCCTATACCATCAGTTAATATCTAAAACCTTTTAAATACAAATATTTATGTAGCTTATAAATATATTTTATTGATGTATCAAAATCATCGATAAGTCACAAAGCAATATGGATGTTTCTTTAAACATCTATGCATAGATGTTTTCATCTATGTTTCTCTACCTCTCTCACAGGGAACGACCCAAAATAGTGAGCCGCTAAATGTTCAATCAAAATCTGAGTCGCATGACAGGGATATACATTTTATAGTCTTCTATATAAGCTTTAATTATTTTAAACTATTGGATCTTTAATTTAGCAGTACAAACCTTTCATTCAAAACAGCTCTAAGTAATTAATATACTAGACATAGAATTTCCGCAAAAGCAAAATTTAAACTTTGGAGTAGCGAAAGTTTGTTCTCCCTTTGCAAATACTTACATACATACGTACAGATTCTTGATCCGTATCCATACTAGTAAACATTAAATCGATTTTATTCATTATCAAAAACACGGTATTCCTAATATATATAGTGTTTAGTATTGCAAACTGCGTTTAGTGCCGATATCATCCAGTATTTGGCGCAGCTCCTCGTCCTCGAAACGACCCTCTAGCGAGGGAATCAACGCCTTAGCCTCCTCCGGAGCTTCGGGACACAGATTACCCAAGGCGGCAAGCTCGAATTTGTGCAGCTTCTTTTGCATAAGTAAGCTGAAGAAGAAACATTGATGTTCAGAATGGGAATTAAAATGAATTCCAGGATAGGACCTACCTGCGCACAGACATTATGGTCTCCTTGTTCTTAAACTTTCGGAAGCTGTCCGTGTAGGCGTAGGTTTTCATAAAGACTTCTGAAAACTCTTGCTCCTCGTCAGCGGACTCGTTCTGTCGTTTCCGATGATCGAGCAACATGTGAACCTCCGATATCAACAGCGTCTCGGCAGTCTCGAACTCTGAAACAGGACAACAAGCGAACAAGTGTTTTTTAGCGGAAATTGATGTGGAAATGTAGGCAAAAAATTTACAAGTGAAACATGGAAGAAAAAACTAAGGGTTAGCCAAAGGACTGCGGCCTGCTGATGTGGCCGTTTTCCAGCAGGAAATCATAAATCTGTCTCGTCTTGTTCACATCGATCTTAATTAGACGCCGCGCATCGGCCAGCCGCAAATGACCGAGCTTGGCCTGCTCCGAAACCAGTTGGTTCTTGTAGTCCAGATAGGATTGTGGCACCAAACGAGCCACACTGCACAGCTTTCGCTCGCCAGCATTCAATTTTGAGTAACCGGGCAGATCTGTGGGAAGAAACAAAAGGAAAACATCTTTAGAGAGGTCTCAATTAGGATACTTTGTCGTATACATACCTCCGATCTCAATGGGACTGGCTTTGCGGCGGGAGCTCAAGGCATACAGTTTGGAGCTAATTCCGAGTGGTAACGGTTCCCCATTTCGATTGTATTCGTAGTACTGCACCAAATGCTGCCAGTCGAAGCCATCCGTCTGATGCTTCTGGCGGACGTAATCCCGCTGAGCTTGCTGGCGTTGCTTGCATAGGCGTTTAAAGAGCGCCGCTCCGGCAAGAGTACTGACGCCCTGCTGCCGCCATTCGTACAAATTAAACAGGCGAGTTTTGAGTTCGCGATAGTGCCGTAGGGACTCCACCAGCAAGTCAAATTCTACGGGCTCGCAGATCTGCATGAATCCTAGGAAACGCATGCAGGTGGTGTCGTTGCTGAACGCGTGTATGTACTTGGAAATCCAGCTAACCGTTCGATTGGGCATGATTAAGCCGTGCTGACGCATGATCCTATACCGACGTTGGCGCTCTCTGTTGGGATATGGTTGGACATTAGTTCATAGTTCATTTTCCCCCCGATTATTTTAGTTTTATAGTGAAATAACGAGTTCATTACCTTAATCTATTGTTATAAGCCCGCACCAGTCCCAGCTGCAATTCCTCGGTTATCTCCCGCTCCACTTCGTTCCCCTCCGCTTCTTGGTCATCTTCGCAGGACCGCTGATTTACCATGATAGAGAGAAGGCTCTCGGCAGAGGCGTCATAGGGCGTATCGAAGTCTCCACGTGCGCAGCGGTACCCGGCATTCAGCTTAAACTGAATGGCGGCAATGTCGTCGTGGCGTGGAGGATCCAAACTGCGCATCTTAAACACATACGGCATTCGCTCAGGGGTGTAGCTGTGCCTCGCGTGCTGAAGCTTTAACAGGCGCTCAAAGATTCCGCCAAAATAGCAGTCGTGGTAGTGGCGACGCACTTCTAGGGGCGCATGTCGCTGGTCGAGGGAATGCGAGACCGCCTCCCAGTTTGCGTAGCCTTGGACCCTCAACGTTTGCAGCAGGATGCGCTCGTCTCGGGCCGTCCAATGGGGCTCCTGGGCAAACACCTGAATGCTGTCGCGGACTATGATATATGCGTGATTATTGCGATGCATCGATATCTCCCTGCCGTGCGCGAAGCACTGCAGGCACAGCAATGTGTGCAGACACTCGGAGCACTTTATGTAGGGCTCAGAGAGGTTGCAACGGCATGCGGCACAGCGGACGAAATCGTTGGGACCTGGCACCGGAACTATACTATTCGTGTTCCACGCCATTTCCTCCAGCTGTTCCAGTTGTTTGTGCAACGACTGTACGTTGTATACCACCGTGGTAGTCTTAGTTTTGGCGTCCTGGCGGGCAAGTGCGTATCGCTGGACTTGTTTACCTAAAGGCTCAACTGCAAAGAGGCAATTCAATGTGGTAATCTGGTGGAGGAGGCGACTGCGCCGCTTGTATTGTGCGCTCTAAGCCAAAAGTCTTCAGGCAGTTTCACTTGTATGTTTGAAAAGCAGTTAATTGTGGGTTGGTTGTTACCTTTGGGGAACTGCAGGTCGGCTGCGTCTTCATCCACCATATCCACGGGGTTCATAAACGACATGATTGCAACCTTTTTTAATAAAATAAATCAAGTTTTAATTAAAAAATGTACGTGCAATGCCGGTTTTTGACCGAAGCCAGCTAATGCGGGGAGTAGGGATGTGAAAATATCAATATATCGAACATCGATATTTTTGTAATCTGATATATCGACTATCGATATTTTAAAAAATATATTTTTGATATTTCCTAATTGGTCACACTAATCTTAATTCTGTAAACTACCGCACATATTCCTGGTCAGCATCAACAGCCGAGTCGATCTAGCCATGTCCGTCTGTCCGTTTCAACGCAAACTAGTCCCTCAGTTTTACAGTTATCTGAATGAAACTTTGCATATACAGGCCTGTTCTAGTTTCCACTCGGAAGTGAATTTGATAACATTTGCGGATTTCCCTTTAACATAAGCGAATTTCCCTTGTTGATTTAAGAAATTTTTTTTAATTTCCCTTAAATTCCCAAACAAAATCAGCTGGTTGCTTTCAACAAAAGAGATTCCCTTGTCTAAGATTTGCTAAAAGGGGCTGATCAAATTTTGGCCCGCTGTAGTCTCCAACTCATAGATAGTAATGAAGCACTAATTTAAATAATAAAATCTAAGGAATAAGCATTAAGACAGGAAATAAACATTTTGAAATATTTGTAATTGCAATCAGCTGTTCTGGTGGCAAAATGCTCGAAAGTAGAGTTGCCGAGGGTTTAGAAAAAATTCCCTTCGCATACAATTTCGTTCAGTTTGTGGATTGAGAGAGAGTCTTAACAGAGGGAAATACGAATCCGTAAAAATTTTTCGAAGTGAACACTAGAACAGGTCAGGGAAATCCGAATCCGAATAAATTTTGCGGATAGTCTTTTAAATACTCTCACTTTTCATTTCAGTTTTAATTTTATAAAAATCGATCTGCGATTGTTAAACAGGTACTGTCAAACTCTAAATATAATAAGTACCGGTAAAATGTAACGAATCTTTGTTTTGTGTGTTTTTAAGCATTTAAATTTAAAAAGTTTATTATCAGGCCTGCTCCGGTAATCGAAAACGGCAAGATTTTTTCGTTTTCGTTTTTGAAAACGAGAAATTGGTGCTCCGGTAATCGAAATCGAAAGATTTTTTCGATTTGAAAAACGGGCACCTTTTTCTGGCCGGAATGAAAAGTAAATGGCTTTTTCTATATGAAATCAGACCTTATTTACAAAAGGAAAAAAATAGTTTACTCAGTGGTCTATTGATGTTTATTCCACAACACCATAAGATCATTCTGGCAGGTAGTTATTTTATAAAAAATTTATTTCTGACCCCTCCTCAGATTTGACAACAAAATTTTTGCCATGTTCAACCAGTTTTCTCGTTTTGGCGATAGGTCGATAAGTTCACCGCAAAAAGTTATCGCCAAGGTTGCCATATTGTTGGTGGAACGAAACAGCCAGTTAAAAATACTTATAAAATATAAATGAATACATTAATAACTTTAAAGGACCGCCAAAATGGTTGTTTATAATTAATACTATTTAATGTGATTACTTACATGGTCCAAATTAACCAAATAATTATTTGAGACCACCGGAATTAAAACTGTGAAAAGTGTGGCAGCATCTTAGGTGCCTGGATTTGCTTAATTCTACCATTTTTTGCCTTTTTCTGGCTTAGAAAAAGGGCAATTGTAAATATAATCAGGCCTGCTCCGGTAATCGTAAAATTTTTTCGATTTCGTTTTGGGCGAAAACGAACCGTTTTCGTTTTTAGCTGCTCCGGTTTTCGGCAAATTTCTGCTATCGGATGTTTCGTTTTCTCATCGTTTCTCACTGCTCAAGCAGCTAACTTGTGTTGTTGGTAATAAGCAAACAACGTAAAGTACTGCCTATTATATTTACAATTGCCCTTTTTCTAAGCCAGAAAAAGGCAAAAAATGGTAGAATTAAGCAAATCCATGCACCTAAGATGCTGCCACACTTTTCACAGTTTTAATTCCGGTGGTCTCAAGTAATTATTCGGTTATTTTGGACCATTTAAGTAATACAATTAAATAGCATTATTTATAAACAACCATTTTGGCGGTCCTTTAAAGTTATTAATGTATTCATTTATATTTTATAAGTATTTTTAACTGGCTGTTTCGTTCCACCAACAATATGGCAACCTTGGCGATAACTTTTTGCGGTGAACTTATCGACCTATCGCCAAAACGAGAAAACTGGTTGAACATGGCAAAAATTTTGTTGTCAAATCTGAGGAGGGGTCAGAAATAAATTTTTTATAAAATAACTACCTGCCAGAATGATCTTATGGTGTTGTGGAATAAACATCAATAGACCACTGAGTAAACTATTTTTTTCCTTTTGTAAATAAGGTCTGATTTCATATAGAAAAAGCCATTTACTTTTCATTCCGGCCAGAAAAAGGTGCCCGTTTTTCAAATCGAAAAAATCTTTCGATTTCGATTACCGGAGCACCAATTTCTCGTTTTCAAAAACGAAAACGAAAAATTCTTGCCGTTTTCGATTACCGGAGCAGGCCTGAATAGGCAGTACTTTAGGTTGTTTGCTTATTACCAACAACACAAGTTAGCTGCTTGAGCAGTGAGAAGCGATCAGAAAACGAAACATCCGATAGCAGAAATTTGCCGAAAACCGGAGCAGCTAAAAACGAAAACGGTTCGTTTTCGCCCAAAACGAAATCGAAAAAATTTTACGATTACCGGAGCAGGCCTGTATATTATACGGTCTTCCCACACAGAGCATCTGTGAGGAACGGTTGGGATTTTTCGCAGATGCGAAACTCGTGTTCCCACAGAGCTGCGTCAAAGTTCATCTGCATCCGAACAGCTGATCGATCAGCTGTTATTGGATGCGGATGCACTTTAACGCAGCTCTGTGGGAACACGAGTTTAATTTTTTTTCTTAAATTTCAACCGTTCCACACATATGCGGCGAGTGGAAGACTGTGTATTGAGGGATACATCAAGATTTACGAGATCGGAAAAGCGATAAATGAGCCATTTGATTCTTGATGGCCTGCGGCATCGTTATTTATATGTTTACTACTTCCCTCGGGTCACTCCCTCTTCCTTGCAAATACATACAATATAATTGTCCCATTTTTAAAATTTGTATTTATTTTTTACCCTGCTCTCTGAACGCCTAGATTACATTTTCTGTACATTATTGTTTTAATACTACTTTTACGCTCCTTTTTTGCTGATCATGATGGGTAAAATCTTGCACCATGATCAGTAAGCATACGCGATAGAAAAAAAAAAATCTATCAGTGATCATGTTGTTTTGCTGAACGCAACCATTCAGTCGTCAAGGGAATACCCTGAATGTTCGGCTATAAACGCTGAAAAATATTTATCGTTTCCATTGGTGGTGGTGAACCATCGATTTTGTACAGCTGTTGCCGGTTTTTTTTTTGTATTGATGGTCACACTGTGTTTTGTGCATGTCTATTTCCGTCTTTTGATTTACCGCAAATTCGTTCGATTGTTGCTATCTTGTAATGAGCGAGGAGCAATCAGGCGGTGCCCAAAATATCCCTGAATACTGTCATTACTTCAAGACTTTGCTGGTAGAGGAACTAGTCCTGGAATCGGACTACCGAAAGCTGCATTACGGCCAGTGCTCAGTAATTGGTCGACTGCGGGTGGCGGAGCACTTTCGGCTGGAGAACGTATGTGTGCGAAGCCTGCCACAGTAAGTCCTCATTAATCATGTCCTTTATCTACTACAATCCATAATTTTCAGGGACTGCTGCCTGCCTGAGGGCGCGCTATCCCTGCTTCTGCTGGGCCTTACCTACGACAAGGCCACCAAGCAGCGAGTGAGCAACGGGTGCTACTGCATTTTACGCGGTGAAGTGGTTCTGTGCAATGTCTTGCGGCCCAAAAGTCCCACATTGACCGCGCGGGGCATTCACGAGCAGTTAGCCAGCCTTGGCCAAGATTCACTTGCTCAGCAAAAGCTTCTCAGTGACCTGAAACTCACCCACAAGCCGGCAATCGCTGTGTGGTTCGCTCAGAAGATCGATGCAACGGATGAGTTGTTGAGTCACCGCCTGGAGATTAGGAGTCTAGTACATGAGAGATGAACATACACTACCTGACCACGTCGCGTTCTAACCCGCAGTTCTACTCATTTATCCAGTTCTTTGGCGACCATTCTGATTGTACCAGCTGTGATTGGGAGGCAATTCTACAGGCTGCCTGGCAAAACTTTTGGCAGCGCGAGGGACACGATCTGCTCGAGCTGAAGTGGCACAAGCGTTTCCCCGAATACAAAAGTCTTATCAACGTCGTAACGCCGGAGGAACAAACATTTTGGCAGGAACTGTGGGAAAAGCATACTACAGAATTAAGTGCCAAGTTCTGGCGTATATTAAATTGTGCGTTCGAGAATTACCAAAACGAATTGGTAAAGTCCTTCGGGACAAGCCTAGAGCAAGTTGAACAGGATTTTATCGATCTAAACATCACTGAAAGGGTGAGTAAGTCCAAGAAGCGTAAACAGAAAAAACAACAAGAGGTCGACGGTGACGACGAGCCTTTTCTGCCATCTACTGAAGACGATCTCGTTTTAGACGAATACGAGCAATTAAAGGTATTGGGATTGCCGACCAATTTTGGCCCCCAAAAATATCCGAAGCAGCACAAACCGAGAAATAAATTACACGAATCTTCCAGTAGCGACTGCAGTGACTGCTGTCAAGAAATTCTGATCATGGAACGTGATAAAAGCCTCGCGCTGCATGGAGTTCAGAGTGGCTTGGTCTCAAAGAGGCAGAAGCCGAAGAAAAAGAAAATCTGGGCTAACGAAATGATGCCGGACTTTATGCAGAACGAGGGGAAAGGCCAAATGGTCAAGTATTGGCTCAAGCGCTTTTCCTTGTTCTCTCGCTTTGACCAGGGCATAAGGTTGGACCGTGAGAGCTGGTTTTCGGTGACACCCGAGAAGATTGCCAAGCAGACGGCTCGTCGGCTGTCCTGCGATCTGATCGTGGATGCTTTTTGTGGGTGCGGAGGCAACGCCATTCAGTTTGCCAACACCTGTGGGCGCGTCATTGCTGTGGACATCGACGCAGAAAAGTTGGCCATGGCAAAGCACAATGCTGGCATTTATGGCGTGGCCCATAAGATTGAATTCATCCATGCCGACTTCCTGCAGTTTGCAGTTAGCTCCAGAATTCGCCCAAATGTTGTCTTCTTGAGCCCCCCATGGGGTGGACCCGGTTACCAAAAGCAGGCAAACTTCGATATTGAGCGAAGCCTGCTGCCCGTGGGCGCCAATGAACTGATGAAACGGGCCCGTCTCCTTTCCGATAACGTTGGATTCTTTCTGCCCCGTAACTCCAACATGACCCAGGTGGTTGCCCTAAGTGGAGCTGGACAGCAGTGTGAGGTGGAGCACAATTTTCTGGACACGCGTATGGTGGCTCTGACTGCCTACTATGGCAATGAAGTAATAAGAAATACTCCGCCATAAAAAATAAAACTAAGCTATTTTTAAAATTATGTTTTTCATAGGTAAGGTACAAGTAAATATTAAGCTAAGTTTACACCGCTAACTATATCCGACCGTATTGAAAGTATACGGGAGTGCCACAGAAATCGCATTGAATTTAAGGTTAATTTAAAAATTGTTTGAATGTGTGTAAATTGCAGGAGTAACATCTTTTCTAGCATACCATATTTCAATTGCAATTCCACAATTTTGAGGCACCAATTGTCAATCCATTGGCATGTGTTAATTTATAAATTTGTTTCATTAACAAAACATAGAACCAAAACAGTCTTTGGTAATAAACGATAAAATTAAGATAATTAATTTTAAGCTTGTATGTAAGAAGTAAGAAAAAAATCCTTCTGTATTTGGGGTTGCATGGAATTATGCACTTGTATCAGTTTGTTCCCCACGACACTTTCTGTTTGTTTTTATTCTCTTAAGTTTTTCACTCTTTTGGATAAAAGTTGACTAATGAATAAAGGCTCTTCTTGTATGTAACAACACACATCCTTCCAGGTTTGATTTCCTATCCCCCTTGCATTCGTGCGGCGATTGTTGCCAAGTCACCGCCAGTACCGCACAAAGTTCGACTCCGAGCTCTTTAGCCAATTTAGAAAGCTTAACAAAGCTGAACTGGCCATTGGTCAATGGTCATAACCATAACGTTCCCCAACTCGTTTTGCACTTTTAATTAAAAAGCGAATGAAGAGGAACGTGCGTCAATTTTTAAGAACATTGTTACAAGTCTCACTTTGTCCAACGCATGAATCGGATTTGAACCTGGCAACCTCCTGTGGCGGGGGCAATTAACATGTTCATGTCACAGCAGCAGTAGCAGCTTCTCCGGAATGCCAGAGCAGGCAATGAGAAACACGGGAAATGGAGGCATCAACCCTTTTCATGGATTACGGCATACTTTGTGCTCGGTCGTAGAAAGGGTTGTGGTGGAGGGGGGCGTGCACGGAATTTATAGCCGCCAACCGGCAACAGAAATATTTTCCTCCTTGCTTCCCGGATTGTGGCAAGTGCCCGTCTCTACCGTCTGCCTCCCAACTACAGCAATTAGTTTGATTAACTTATTAGTGTGTGCTCGTTGGGAGCATCTTGGGCGAATTAAGAGCACACTTTTCGGAGCGGATTTTAGGGCGTTCCGACTGCGGATAATTTCGGGGTTTCCTAAGTGCCACGAACATTTCTTAAATTGGTCCATTTTATCTTCTTTTCGAACGTTAGCGAAATTATTATTGTATCGTAATCAGATAAATTTATAAGCTGCAATTTTTGTCAGCTTTTCGAGGACTATTAGATAGATGCACCTTATATGTGTGGTAAAATAAAAAGTTATATTGCACTGATTTAATGCATTTCCGCTGGGAACTCCAAAATCAGAATTCCTGCTCCTACTTTAATAATATGGACGAAATGTACTTTAGTTTTAGGTCTGGTCGGAGTCCGATATCGTCATCAAAAGTTAACCCTTCTAAAGTGCAGCCTTTAACCTGGCTTTGTTAGGTTATACTTTGATGTTTGAATATTTGAAAACTAACATTTATTCAGCTTAACTGATATCCTTCCCAGAAGATCAAGATTCAATTTCATACGATAACCAAAAAATTAGAAAGCTACAGGATTAACTCGTGGAATACCCAGCGCCCATCCCGAAGACCTTAGGCGCGCATTCTTTAAAAACCAGAAAGGATTTAAAAAGTATGTACTTTTTTCGTTCCAGTTTGACAGGAAAGACTAAATATAGAGATAAAAGAACTTAATTGAGTAATAACCAAAGTGCCTATTATCAAATTTTTGCAGTACCACCGCTTTGTTGTTTTTCAACACATTTCTATGATAATTTTAAATAATTTGTGAATTACAACATTTTTGAAATACCTCAGCACTCAGTTATGTATTCCATCGTGAATTTGTAAATGAATTGGCTTAACAAATGTAAGCATTATTAAGATTTAGAGTAGAAAAGAAAAAATTAAATATACTTGATAATCTCTCAGATATTTTAGGGAGATAAGCTCGACTTTCCGAAATTAGCTTCCTTTCTTGCTTGGTTTACATATATCAAATTAAAAATTTTCACAATATTTTGCAATCTCCTAATAGACATTTCATTACAAGTACATTTTATTGCTCACCCTTTTAAGATTCAGATCTGTTAGCCAGTGATTAAATGCTGACTTTTATTGTTCGAATTGTTAATAAAATACCGGGGATTTGGCCGTCACGCGTCAACTTGGGAATTATCAGCTACTTAAATCTAAGCTCCCCGGCCGGATTCTAGATTCTGGTCTCCGGGTTTCGAGTCTCTAACTCGCGTTCTCCCGTTATTAGATGCTTGTAATTGTCGTTTTAACTGTCGCTCTGGGTTGACAATGCCAGAAATTTCAATATCCTGGCTGGACGCAGACTGTAAAAGACTGGCATCGCTGCTTAAATATATAGAGAAGTATATTTTATTGGAAAGCAAACACGTGTTCACAGCTCATCTCCTCCCGTGCGGCAAGTGGCGGCGTCCGCCGCTCCGACCAAAAAAAAACAAATTAAGTCACCCTTTTATTACGCTATTTAATTTCCAGGGTAATGTTGTCAACCTTCTTGACAAATGGGCACCCAAAACAACGAGGAGAACCCTCCTCCTGTCGTCCTTTCATCCCACCCTCCGCTGGCTGCATGTTTGATCTGTAATTTGCGCCACTTGATGATGATGATGGGTTTAAGCCGGAGAATCCGGACCCAAAGCGTCGGGGTGGTTTGTTTGCGCCGCAAGTTGCGACAATGCCGAAATGCGATTACAGTCCATGGGAACTGTGGAAAATGCGATTGTTCGGCTTCGGGTGCAGGTGCAGATACTCCGAGGCTGCGGCTAAATAAGCGGATGGGAAATGGCAATAATTGCCTTCTGATTTATGGCCGATCGTTGGACCTGTATTTGGTGAATATTGATATTGGCATGAATATGAAAAGGAATACATCAAAATTAAGATAATGAAGGAGAGAAAATTGAGGATTAACTCGTTAGAAACACAGAAATAGAAGCCAACTTTCGGGAAGAAATTTGCAACGCATTCAAGGAGACCCTATATTATATATATACATATGTATATATTCTTGTTTAACACAAATAGCCGAGATATTCGGGCGGTTTACAGTACGCGACAGTCAGTCGGCTACGTTAGTAAATTCAAGCAGAAATCTGCACTCGAAATGCCATGATGAATTGGATATCTTACAACAGGCGGTTATATAAACAACAAAACTAAGTGGTTATAATCTATAATAAGACTGTTTTCATTTCACATTCATTTATATTCCATAATAAGTTGCAGTAAGTCTTTACCTTTTAAAAAAAAAAATTAATTTTTTAAAAACAGTATTTGGTTTTGATCAAATTTCAAAACATTATTTCTAAATATATTATTAAATTTTAGGTTCGAAACATAACAAATGTATATGCTGAATCAAAACAAAGTATAATTTACATTTCCAGTTTTACATTCACAGCATTACATTTTTCTCTACATCTAATGTTCTTTGTTGTATGTACATATATACATATGTACATACATATATGGTTTATTTGTCCGATTTTCAAAAAATGAAAACAGAAATGCTGAAATAATCCAAAATGACCTTGTTTTTAAAAAGATGAAAATAACTTGAAAAACTGCGGAGTTATAACTCCTTTCATAAAATATTCAGATTGTTCTGATGGCAGCTACATAATATATTCCCTCGATCCGTTTCGACGTGATAGTGATAGTAGTGAGAAGACAAAGTTTCATTCAGATAGTTGCTAAACTGAGAGTTTAGTTTGTGCTAAACGGCTGTTGGTGCTAAACAAATATATATTCTTTATAGGGTTCAAAACCAGTCTTTCACTGCGTTGATGCTTCTGGCTAAAATTAGAATTCCCTGCAAGGGTACACTAATAAGATTACCAAAAAAATAAATTCGAAAATAAAATACGAGCATTTCCAAAATCGCGCACGGAACTTTCAAAAGCATTAAAATTAAGAAAAATGTAGAACGAAAACTATTTTTTTATGTAAATGTACATAGCTTTTTATTATCTCTCATTTGCGCAAATATGGGTTTTTTGATAATTTTCATTTTTAAGATAATTGAATTATTCAAGTGATTCCGGAAGTGGTTTTTGAGGTCGACTAATTCAATCGCAAATTTCTGGGGATCCAGCAGGTATATTTTAATGTAACTAATTTTAAACTGTTATATATGTTATGTTATGTTTTTATAAAAATCACTTGACATTTTTTTTTGTTTAATAAGCTAGATTCGCAATGGAACATGGAAGGAAGCGACATTAAAAATCAACATTTTTCTTTTCGGTTTGTTCTTTGCATTCGCTGAGTAATGTTAGAAAGGAAAAGAGAATGCATAATTCCTCTGATTTAGAAGTAACTATCAAAAAATCAAGCATTATGATGTTTTACATTAAAATAATGAAAAATCGAGTTTGCGCTACATTGCATTCGAAGATTTCGATATCTGTCTTAGAATATGGAAGATTCTGTCACATTTGATCAATTAGAACACATTATACTGTAAATACATTACAAAGAAAGATTTGTGAGAAATTGAATCTTTTTGGCACTTTTGTGAAAATGCCCATATCATTTTCGTCAGAAGAACTTTAAATGAGTTTTTACGGATTCGGGACCAGGGCACAAAATTCCATATATTTCATATTTCAAAAAATGCTGTGCACCATTTGTTGTATTTCTTATTATTTTAAACGTTTTTGTTAATTAAATAAATACCAACATTTTGTTCGTAAAAAATTAGTCAACAAGGCTTGTAAAATATATTTGCAATATACATACATATATACCTTAATTCGGATTATTGAATCAAATTTGCCTTAATCTAAGCGCAATACGTATGCGGTGCAGTTGAGCCAACAACAACACTTAGTCAACGCAGCAATCAGCGGTAGAGCAATGCATAAAAACAGAGAGACGAAGAGAGATAACGAAATTTGTAAAACAGAATTAGATTCACAAAATAAATGTCACTGATAGATATCAAATGATTTAGTTATTGTTGATTTATAAAAACTTGCAAAAATATGAGCTTAGTGGAGTGGATAATCCAAAAAATGTATAAGTTATAGTTCAGACTATAATGATTTCAGCCTGTGAACATTTTTCGAGCTGTTACTTGTTTTTATTTCTTCGCTCTCATTTCGACAAAATGGTGGCACTTATTGATTAACCGTTATTCATTTGGTGGCAGCCATTAAAATTAATAAACGTACAAGGGCAGTCCCATCCACCACGAAAACCAGAGCAATAACAACAAGCAAGAAACCAGCATCAGGCACCAATTACACGTACACACAACAGCAGGAAAGAGCTAAAGGGAGAAAGCATCGTTATCCGCCCACTTGCCATATTGATGGGCAATAAAAAAAAGTCAAGTAAAGCGCAAAATAAGAGCAATAATATTTAATAAATGTGCACAGGGCCGCACAATATT